GAATGTGGCAACTTTTTAAATTCTCACCCTCATTGCCTATTATTTGTCTTCACTAGAACATTGTATCTGATATAGTACAACATTATATACTTATATTAATAAATCAACATGTTGTGATATTTTGTAAGGTGCAAGGTGACTAATAGATGTTTGAGAATTGTTAAGTTCAACCACTAGCTTAAGGTATTTTCTGAGAGGCAAAGGCATTAGTTAGATAAACCTCATCAGGAAACATTTCATTTTTGGAATTGAAATTATCTCTAAGAATCATCAAGGAAAAAGGAAAATCTTTGTCAATATGCTGAGAAATAAAACAAAGAGACATTGAAAACAGAGAGAATGGGAGTTCTGGAGAAGCAGAGTAGGGTGGGAGATATGTCTCTTGTTTGGTGGTTGTCTTAGATGGAATCCTAGCTACTTAGAGTTGGGTGGGACCTCAGACTCCAAATTCAGAAAACTCCTCTCCAGTTTATACTGTCTTGGGAAGATGGCTTCTGAAGTCCTCCTCCAGCAATGGATTCCTCTTGATGTGTCCAAAGCAAGTGAGGTGGATAGCGTTCAGTTGTGATCCACAAGGTTTTCACTTGTTAATTTTTGGAAAAAAATTGCCAGGCCTTTCTTCCTCGTCTTTTTTACTCTGAAGCTTTGCTGAAACCTGTCCACCATAGGTGACCATGCTAGTATCTGAAATACATGTGAATGGTGGATAATATGTAATATGATATGGTATGAATAATAGGTGATTGACTGAAAGCTTACTATATGCCAGACACTACTCTAAGCACTTTACACATATTATCTCATTTAACTGCAAAGTTATCCTATGAAGCAAGTAACATTTTATAGATGCAGGAACTGAGCTCTATTATTTGTTAATAGAGCTAACAAATGGGGGAGTTGGGATGTGAACCTCAGCACATCCAGGCAGTTTGACTTAACATCTATGTTTTCCTACCTGATGAACTGCAGAGTGCAATGAAGTCACCTCCTCCTTCTGGACATTCTACTTCTACTGATGAGGTACTAGTTTGTTTTAGCAGCCCTGTTGCAAAAAACCCATTAGCTTATATTGTAATCAGTGAAAATCTCTAGGCCTTTCTTACATGATCTACTACTAGAGCAGTTATTATTTGATTTTGTGGTCATGCAATTGATTTTTTCGACCTAAGTTCTCCATTCCATTTTCTTCAGTATTCAGCTTCACTTGGTTAGCTTCAGTGCACAGTTCTAGCCTGTTGAGTAGTTCTGAATCCTTGATCTGCTATCTCAGCTCTGTGTCACAATAGAATTGATAAATAAACCTTCTGTCACTTTTTCTGAGCTGCTGATAAAATTAAAAATTGTCAAATAGGATAGGGCCAAGGTCAATTACTGTCTTCGCATTGGGTGAGGGACTTATGCTTGATTACAGTAAAACATGTTCATTTTTCAAGTCTACCACAAAGTCTTGATTATGAAACTATTAAGAAATTTATTTCCTCTACTATCCTCTAACTAAGGGTTTCTCAGCCTCATCTTTATTGACATTTTGGGCTAGATAGTTCTTTTTTTGTGGGTCTGGGGGGCTGTCCTGTGAATTATAGGATGTTAGGATGTTTAGCCTCATCCCTGGTCTCTACTCACTAGACACAGTAGTGCTGTCCCCTCCCCAAGTTGTGACAACCAGAAATGTCTCCAGACATTGTCAAATGTTCCCTGAAAGGACAGAATTGCCCTAGCAGCCTGTTGAGAACCACAGCTGCAACTTCGTAAACTGATTAATTCAGCAATAAAATGTTTATTATGCACCCGCTATTTGTCCAGGACTTGATAATTTCAATGAACACTGAACAAGAAGACATTGTCCTTGACCTTAAGAACATTCAGTTATGAGAGATATGAGCAGCCCCTGTGGATCAACTGGAAAAACAATTCATTAAAGCCCATTATCTAGTGATACAGTGTGAGGCTCAGACTGGACAACCTGTTGGAATCCATAAAAATGAGATCAGTGTTCTGGTTACCTAGTGCCGCTCTGATAAGAATATACCACAAATGGGATGTCCTTAACAAACAGGAGTTTATTCTTACAATTTGGAGGCTTTAAGTCCAAGTTCAAAGTGCCAGGCTCTAGGGGCTGGGTGAAAGCCTCTCAGCCTTGGGCTTCAGCTCTGCCTCCAGCTCCCACCCCACTGAACTAGAGGCGATTCTTCACTCAGACAGCTGCTGGCTGCTGAGTCTGAGAAGCCCAAGGTTGACAAATAAAATGGCACAGTTCCGATGTTACCAAACCACATGGCAGGCCATTAATTCAAGTCCATTGTAAGTCCCAAGGTCGGCAGAGCATGAACAATGACATGGCTACATGCAGGATCCAAGCGTGCCATAGGCTAGAGACCATTCCCAAAGGTGCTGCTTACATACAGGAAGCAGACCACATACCCAAAGGCAGCTACTCAGCTGCTTGTGGTAGATCCCACCATGGAGTTGATTGCCAGTCTCATCATGGGGAATAACTACCACCAGCTGCCCAGCCACTCAACCAGGCCTGGCCAAGATGATGTACAAATTGAACTACCACAATCAGCAAGGACAAAGCTTTCATGAGTTACGACTTGATGGTTACATTGTTTGAACACGTATAAGCATGGAATATGGTCCACAACTTCTGAATCAAAAATAACAAGCACATGATTTGATATGTAGTCTGAAAATAGGTGGGATATTTGAAATCATACCTCTCGGAGAACTTGAGGTATATGGTTTCAGAAGATCATGAGTAGAAGACATTCCAGGTGAGAAGAGTGATGTCAATAAAGGTACAAAAAACTACAAGAGTAGGAGGAACAGGAGGGTACCAGGGTCCATGTTAGGCAGCCTGAGAAGCCAGGTGAGAGGGCTGAGGTAGAAGCAGATCACAGAAGCACTGAAAATCTGGCACAGGAGTTCCGTGTCTGATGTTCTTGGAGTGGAGGAGCACCAGGATGAAAGGTATTAAAGAATGGTCTGGCAGTGGATTGGTTTGGAGTGAATGTGCTGGAGGGTATAGAGGTAGTTTGGGTTTTTGAGAAGGAGAAAAAAGTCATGACTGGGTGGCAGAGGAGTAATAATATAATAGGAGAGGCATCTGGAAGTCCAACTGGAAGAATAAGATTGGGTGAATTACTAGAAAAAAATTTGGGTGTTCGAGGTGAGGCTATTCCTTGATTCAGAGTCAAATTCCCCATTTTGGAACCTAGAAGAATAGTTGTGCCATTGTCATTTTTCTCTTCCTTCAAAACTCCACATAAATATATCTGCTACCTTGATTAATCTCACTCTTTCTAATTATGCTTTTGTTTGAAGTGATAAGGATAGATTTTAAGGAGGAATGGCATTTGATCTGCATCAGTGGATCGGATTTAAGCTGGCAGAAATAAGATGGATGTGCATATGTGAATGTGTGTGAGGGCGTGTGTCATGAGTGGGGCTCATTGGGACAGTGGCATGAGCCATTGGTGTATCTGGGGAAAATGCATAGCCAGTGATGATAGGAGTGAAGTGTCTGTACCTAGTCAGGGCAGGTAACATTAAAAAGATGACAAAGGTGGCATCAGGCCCATGGCTCTGACTGCCTTTTTAAGAGCTATCGTTTAATATTTCCTTTTCATTGGCCCTATAGGCCACCGTGCCTAAGGCATTTGACTGCTAACCAGAGGGTTGGCGTTTTAAACCCACTAGGCGTCCTTGGAAGGAAGATGAAGCAATCTACTTCTGTAAAGATTTACTGCTTAGGAAACTCAATAGGGGTTACTATGGATCAGAATCAAGTCAATGGCAGTGGTCTCTCTCTATATATATACATATGCGTGTGTGTGTGTGTGTGTGTGTGTGAGTGTGTTATCTATCTATCTATCTATAACCAAAAAACCCAAACTCACTGCTATCCAGTTGATTCTGACTCATAGCAAACCCCTTTGGGTTTCAGAGGCAGTAAATCTTTATGGAAATAGATTGTACCGGTCTTCCTTCTGCAGAGTGGCTGGTGGGTTTGAACCGACAACCTTCTGCTTAGCAGTCAGATGCCTTAGGCACTACACCACCAGAGCTCCTTTTTTTTTAAAAAAAATATATATATATAGAGAGAGAGCCATTGAATTAGTTATTACCCCAGAGCAAAAACTTTTCTTGGAGGATTCAGGTCTGTGATAACCAGTTTTTTCTCCTAACCTAGAGCTTGTTACCAGGATTTGGAGATGAAGAGGAAAGCAAGGTAAGGCCAGATACGCTATCTAATAAGACATGTGTTCTTGGGAGCTTGCTTTCACTTTTTCCTCCTACCTGTATTTGCTAAAATACAGGTAGGAAGAAAAAGATGTCAGTCCTTGGACCATCCAGTGGATAGATGTGAGGTGGCAAACAGCTTTTCTGCCCTAGAATTAATTAGTATCTCTATCCACTAAGACTTGTGGGACTTGCAACTCCTAACAGGAAGCAAAAATGAACCTTAAAGAGAAGCATCTAGTAGGATTATCAGAGTTGCTAGGAGTGAAGCAAGTGTGTGACCTTCAGGAAGCTTCTCCCTCCACTGTGCTCAGGTAAAAATCTATCACCAACAACATGCCCACCCTCCCTCCTGCCCACCTCAGGTATCAGATAGAGAGATAATAGTATAAAACTTTTTTTTATTTCAAAATGCAAAATGGTGGTCATTTTAATAATAATAATATAAAAAGCACTTTCCCTCCTTCTTCCCTAGTGCAAAATGGTAGATGCACTCAGATACCTCAAAAAATACATAGTTTTGGACAGTCATCCTTCTGCACTGCTGCACAGCAGCAAAACTCAATCCCGAACTCCTTTTAGTGGAACGGTGTGATTGGTCAGTTCTAGACATCAGTAGCTTCTCAGAAGTAAGTCCAAATAGCATATGGCTGGCCCAAGTTTTCTTTTTCTCCCTCACTTTCACCCTCACCCTCACCCTCTCACTCTTTCTTTCTCTCCATCTCTCTCCTACACCCTCTGCTGGACTCTCACAGTTCCTAGGAGGCATGCTGTCGATTAGAGAGGCCCCGGACAGAGTGTTTGACCTCCTGCTGCTTGCCTTTCTTCCTCAGGGCCTGCTTCTCCAGGGCGGCCTGCAGTGAGGCCACACAGGCCTCCTCCTCCCGCAGGCGGCTGGCGGCTGTTAAGGGGCTGCACACAGTCTCCATCAGGCTGAGCACTATGCCAAAGAAGGCCAACACGCTGCCCAACACGTACATTTTCACCAGCTTCCCCTTGGGCTTCTGGGCTATTAACTCCTTGGCCAGAGGGATCAGCTCCTGGACTATTTCCATCGCGGCTATGGACTCTCAGAGACGGGAGGGACCTGCAGAAGCAGAGCAGGGGAGGGGGACCTTTAGTCAACGAAGGCTTCAGCTTCCCTAAGGACCCCTCCCTTAGCACTCTTGTGAAAGGGAGGCCGAGCCGGGACAAGCGTCCCAACCCCCGCCAGGGACCCGCCAAGACTCACCCTAGTGGCGCAGGGCTAGGGGGAAGCAGAGCAAGCTGGAGGCAGCGACGCGGTGGCAGTCACCCTGTTGATGGGTCTGTCCAGCCTCTGCGTTCTCCTCCACGGCAGCCGCAGCTCTTCCAGATGGAGACTCTGCACCTGGCACTTTGTCAGTGTCCCGAGGCCGCTTATGTATCTTCTCCAAAACCCGCCTCCTTGGCTCCCTGGCCAGAGTCAGCTCAGGGGAAGTCAAAAAGGGAGGAAGGCAAAGGGAGGGAGGCGGAGTTACGGCCAGAAATGGTGGCCAAGAACCGCGCACGCAGGGGCCACGTGGACTGGGGGTTCTGGGAGGGGGAGATTTCGGCGGGGGTAGGCGGCAGGGCAACCCTGGACTCAAGAGGTACTACTCCGGAGTTGCACAGGGTGAGGATCCGAAGCCCACGGAGGTGTCCGCATGCCTTGGGATATGAGGACCCTTTCTTAGTGGTTTCACTGCGTGCCCAGCCTCCCTTTTCTGGGGAGCCCTGAAAAGGACCCCTAGGAAGGGAAAATGGGGTTCTACCTAACAGAAAAATCTTTAGTTTTTATACATAAGGATTGTTACCTTCCTACTTGTGAGGGGCTAAGTAGGGGTGGAAGCAAGGAGGAGGAAGTAAGGGGGAGGGACCCTGGGTAAAGAACAGAGTAGAACACATCTCCCATGAGTTGCATAATGCAATATACGCTTGTGTGATTCCTTTCCTGCTTGATGGATTTTTTCAGAGGTGCTTCCAATACTAGAGTCACTTGATATATAATTGTTCATAGTTGGTGTCCTTTACCCTTTATACACAGATATATGTATGTGTGTGTGTGTGTGTGTGTGACGTTAATCTCTATGCCAGCTGGTGTTTGTATATGTAAAATATGTATATATCAGAGAATAACCATTATATCCAAGTTGTCCTTACTACCACTCCATGGGGCTTGAGATATTGGACATACAGGGACAGGCAAAAATGCAAATGCTGTGTTGGTAAATGTTTATCTCCTGGTTTAGAGTGCAAATGTTTCATGCTCTCCTCAGTGATTATTGCCCACTTCCCTGGATTTGGGGATGCAATTCCACTGTGTCAGCTCCAATTTATCATGGAAGAAGTTTAGGGATGAGAAGTAGGCAATTAAAAAAACTAAAAGAGTGGCCAGTGTTCTTAGAAGCATGAGGATGAGTAGGATTTTGACCAGGATACCTTGATGGGGTTCTAATTTAGCTTTGGTTATATGTATACCCGACTTAGCAAAATAGGGGAAAAGGGGAGGCAAATAGGTTAAAGAGCTTCAGGGGAAGGGGGGAGGGACAGAGGAGGGAGGGGACTGGGAAATCAAACAGGCAAAGGTCAGTGATGCAATTTTGCAACAGCCTGTGACAGTCAGTCATGCTGGAGAAGGAGGGGCAGGGGAAATGGCTATTTCAGGGATCAAATATTTCAGTTGTTTGAATGCTAACAGTAATCTCTGGGATCTGAAGAAATTTCTTAGACCATTCAGTTAAAAAAGACAACGGTAATAACTGTCCTTTGCCTTAGTTGCTTTGATTGAGTTGATTCCTATGTACAGCAAAACTAAAGACTTTGTGGCCTACACCATCCTCACAGTTGTTCTAGATTTGAACCCATTGTTGAAGCTACTGTGCCAATCCTTTTCACTGAAGTTTTCTTTTTCTTTTTCTTTTTTTTTTGGCTGACCCTCGACTTTACCAAACTTGATGTCCTTTTCCAGGGACTGGTCCCTTCGACAACATGACCAAAGTGCATGAGATGAAATCTCACCATCCTTGCTTTTAAGGAGCATTCCAGCTATACTTCTTCTAAAACAGATTTGTTTGTTCTACTGACAGTCCATGGGTATATTTAGTATTCTTTGCCAACACAGGGATTCAAACACATCAGTTCTTCTTCAGTCTTCCTCATTCATTGTTCAGCTTTTGCATGCATATGAGGCTATTGAAAAGACAATGGCTTGGGTCAGGCATCTTTTAGTCCTCAAAGTGACATTATTGCTCATGAGCACTTTAAAGAGGTCTTTTGCCACAGATTTACCCAATGCAATATCTCATTTGATTTCTTGACTGCTGCTATCATGGGAATTGATTATGGATGCAAATAAAATGAAATCCTTGACAACTTCAGTCTTTTCTCCATTTATCATGATGTTGCTTATTGATTCATTTGTGAGGATTCTATTTTTCTTTATGTTGAAGTGTAATTCATGCTGAAGACTGAAGTCTTTGATCTTCATCAGTAAATGCTCCAAGTTCTCTGAGCTTTTAGCAAGCAAGGTTATGTTATTTACATATCACAGGTTATTAGTGAGTCTACCTCCAATCTTGGCATTGTGTTATACTTCATATAGTTCATCTTCTCAAATTATTTGCTCAGCATACAAATTGAATATTAGTAGTTTTGTGTATGAAGATTAGATCAGAACTACCTAAAAAGTTTATTTGAAATTTTATATTGCACTCTGTGCACAAACAGTCAAGCTGACCAAATGCCAAGAAGGGGATGTTTTTGGAGCATGATTCTCCTGTTCATTGTTTTCTTAACCTTTTCAGGCAGGAAAATTCTGTAAAAAGGGCTGTCTTATTTTTCTAGTGCTAGTATAACAGAAATACCACAAATGGATGGCTTTAACAAACAAGAAATTTATTCTTTCACAGTTTAGGAGGCTGGAAATCTGAATTCAGGGCACCAGCTCAAGGGGAAGGCTTTCTTTCTCTGTGGGCTCTGAAGGAAGATTCTTGTCTCCTTTCAACATCTGTGGACCCATCTTTCCTTGAAGATCTCTATGTGTCTTGCTATCAATCTTCCCTGGGGTCTAGAAAGTTCTCAGTGTAGGGACCCAGGGTCCAAAGGATGTGCTTCACTCCCAGCTCTTCTTTCTTGGTGGTACTAAGGTCCCTCCATACCTGCTTGTTTCTCTCTCCCTTTACTCTTGTAAATTAAAATGTGGTGCAGGCCACACCCCTGGGAATCTCCCCTTACATCTGATCTGGGCTGTGACTTGTGTGTTGTTGTTTTTGTTGTTATGTGCCATCAAGTCGGACCCAACTCATAGCGACCCTCCTTCAGTTTCCGAGGCAGTATCACTATGGAAGTAGATTGCCCCGTCTTCCTTCCGAGGAGTGGCTGGTGGGTTTGAACCGCCAGCCTTCTGGTTAGCAGTCAAGTAAGTACCTTAGGCACTACACTACCAGAGCTCCCATGACTTGTGTAAGGGTGGTGATTTTAAATAAGATTAAAGCATCCCACTCTAATCCTGCCTCATTAACAAAACAAATCCAACCTAATCTTCTTCAACATAAACTAATCCTGCTTCATTAACAGAAGGCAAGGGTTAGGATTTACAACAAAATGGAGGATAATCACACACTACTGGGAATCATGACCTATGGGGACACAATTCAATCCGTAACAAGGGCCAAAACTGTGTTTGATATCAATCTTGGCATTTATTTATTTATGAATGGATAGTCCATTTAGAAAAAAAAAAATTTATTGTGATTTGGGTGAAAGTTTACAGAACAAATTCACTTTCCATGCAGCAGTTCATGCACACTTTGTCTTATGACATTGACTACAATTTACCCCAATGCAACAGCTCCCCTCCAACTTCCTCCCGATAGTTACCTCTTCCCTGTGTCCATCCCTCCATGCACTCCTGCCCCCTGAGCTGTCTCCCTGTGCATGCACAGCCCTTCTTTCTCCCATGATTGTTCTCTCTAAGGAGTGTCTCTCCCTCAGGTACATGTTCAACTCATATGCCTGTCTTTTGTTTGGCTAGAAGCCACAGGTATGGGTTCAATTCCAGACCTGAAGGGCAGCTAGGGGCCATAGTCTCAGTGGTTCCAACAGGCTCTATCAGATCAGCAAAACTGGTCCTTTTTTATTTTCCCCCAAATGATTTTGAGTTTTAGTCCACATTGTTCTCCCACTGTATCCAAGATCTCCTACATAGATGCCATCGCGAGTGGTTGACAGTGGTAGCTGGGCATCATCTAGTTCTTCTGGTCTCATAGTCTTATAGGCTGAGGATCACATGGTGTACCAGTCACTAGGACTAATTGTTTCCATGAATCTTTGGTTTTCTTCATTCTTCTTTGCTCTGGATGAGGAGAGACACGTCATTGCATCTAGATGGCTGCTTGGAAGCTTTTAAGATCCCAGTCGCTACTCGCCAAAGTAGGAGATAGAACAATGTTTTGTGTTGTATGTTATGCCAATTGAGCTCATGTCCCCTGTGACTATGGTCCTGAGCCCACAGGTCCAACTACTCACTCCCTCTGGGTAGCTGGCTATGACCAAGAAGTGACTACAAACTTGTCCCTTGTCAGCTTTACTATACCCCTGGGCAATCTTGGCCTTTACTTTGAATCTTCCTCAAAATTTTGGAGCAGTCCCTAATAACTGGCAGAAATGATTTTTGAGCTTTCCCAAAGTGAGGAAGAAGTCAGATGTTCTGAGCAAGTGAGTATTATGAGCAGTGTGGCTTCTGGAAGAGCATAGGATATGTACCTTACCATCAGAGCTTTCACCTGGTTTCCACTCTAAACGTGAGTCAGTCCAGCTCTGGATCCAAAATTCCAAAATTGACTCATCAGTAAGCATTTCCTCTACGTCTGACACTCAAAGATGCAAATCATCCAACGTCAGCAACCTGTAATTTATCTGGGGTTCTCCTTTCCTGTGATTTGCTGTGTCAGAATGTGTACCTCCTCAGATAAGTTCCCTTCTGTGATAAGGACCTGCAGATCCCACCATCTGATAGCCATGGGGGCAGGAGGGGGCACAGAGGGAACAGCAAATC